TTTATAAGTTGCTCAAATATTTTTCCCACACAAGATGTAAGTGCAATAGGTCTATATGATTCTGCAATATGGGTTTTTTCCAGGCTTTAAAATAGGTATCAAACAATCTACTTTCCAATAGTTAGGAATAAGTGAATAAAACCATAACATACTATTTATTTTCAAAACTAGTTCTCTGCACACATATTTTTAAAGCTTTATATGGGACAGAATCTAAACCACAAGTAGTGTCCTTTCTAGAATTAACAGCTGAATTGAATTCGATCAAGGTAAAAGGTTTGGTGAGATAATCACAATGATTATCGTTGGAGGAGTGAGGAGTTAGAGGTGATTCATCCGTTTCTGGAGTATATTTTTTTAAAAATTCATTAGCCCAATTGGAATCTATGACTGATGTGTTATTATGTACAAAAGTTTTGTGAAACTTTTTAACGTAATTGCATACTCTAGTCAATGGAGAAGATCTATTAAAAGTTTCACATAGTGCTTTCCAGCTGAGCTGTCTTTCAGTCTTCAAAGTAATTTTTTATCAGTTTCTAGTCTTTTAAAATTAAAATAATTTTGTTCTGTGGGATCATTCTTAAATACTAAACATGCATTTTTACAATTTAATACTGCCTCTTTGCATTTTAAATTCCACCTCTTCTTTTAAAAGATTGCAAATTGATGTTAACATTTTGATTAGAAGACTGATTGGATGGTGTGGATTCATGCATGACTTGTTTAACTAGTTCTATTAAATCTGTAATAACATTATAATGGGTTCCTATGATCAAAACTATAATTTTTAATTAAATTATCTATTAATTTTGGATATTTTGACTTATCTACCAATTTTAAGTTTATGTTATTTGATACAGCTGTTTCTTGAAAACTTTGATTATTGATCGTAATTTTTGTCTACAGGAAAATGATAGCTGTCTAGAGAATCATCATCACATACTTGCCACTCACAAGACAGAGCCAGTGAAGATGAAACAAATGTCGAGTCTAATGCATTCTGCCTCCATCTGTGAGATCCTACTGTAGTAATCTGACCATCATTCAAGATTACAAGATTGTTGTCATCTATACTTGTAAAAACGTTCCTACCTTGTGAATCCAATTTAGTACATCCCCATAATGTGTGATGGGTGTTAAAATCACCAGCTATAAAGACTGGCTGTGGCAAATTTTGGATTAAATTATCTAATTTGAATGTATTGATTGTAATTAATTGATTAATTAGGAGGGCAGTAAACACTAACTAAAGTTAATAATTTATCATTATATTGTATTTGATATTTTGTAATGAGTCATTAGAGAATGTATTGATAACACGAAATCCAATTTTGTTATGTAGAAGTATTGCTACTCCATCATGATCATTACCTGAATCTAATCGTATAATATTATAATATATATAACCTTTTACTCAAAAATTGAGCCTAGGTTTAAGCCAAGTTTCACATATAAGAGCAACACCTATAGTGTTCTCATGTAAAAATTGTGTAAATTGAAAGCGATTTTTAATTAAACTCTGTGCATTCCATTGTACAGTGTTAAACTGATCCATAAAATATTAAATGCTAAATAATGAAATATCTATTTTGGTTTCATTGTATCTATGAGAACATCTTTAACAAGCTGAGAAGATAAGGTGGTTTGTTTGTTTGATTTATTAAGAGTTAATATTTTAATTACTGTATTAAAAATTATATTAATAATGTCATCATTATTTAGCAGTGACATAAGAGCATCTTTAGGGCTTTTTTGTTTCTTGACAGGACACTGTCCAGAAATGCTTAGATGATTTCCTTTGCAATGTATACATATTGCTTTATCTGAAGAGACTTGACAATCTTTGTAGCTGCGATTTTCAGTACAAATTGAGCATTTCACAGAATTTTCACAGTACTTTGCTAAGTGGCCATACCTCAGACAGTTGTAGCACTCAGCAGCTTCACTGGTGTAATATACTGATTTACCACGAACTGCTAACCATGAAGATCGACGTGGTCCGGCAAAACATTAGAAGCGAATGTGATGGCCACGGTGCCCATCGGCTGCATCAAACTGCGTCCTGCATCATTTTTAAGTTTCCTCATTATCCTTTTAACACATATTATTTTCCTGTAAGTCGTTAACATACCAAAAATTCTTGAATTAGAAAGGTTAGTGGGAACATTAGTTATGACTCCTGTTATTTCTGTTCCTACAGCTGGGATAGATGCCTTCATTTTGTATTCATTAAGAAATGTAACATTATTTAAAATGCATTTGCTAGAGAGGGCTTTTCAAAATGAACGCCTATTTTTTATTTATTCATAGGTTGCAAATATTTAATGCCTTTATTGAACCTCTTCATATGTGTGGATAGAGACATTATGTCCCGCGTGCTGATTAGCCTTCTTTCATCATTTGATTCGATAAAGACAACGAAATCAACAAGGACAGAGTCCTCAGGGTACCTCGTGTTGTAGTCAGATACAAAGTACGGCTTATACTTGCGCTGCTCTTTCTCAGTATCTTTCTCAGTACTGGTGCCAGCTTCTTCCTCCTCAGTCGTTTCTTCAAAGACTTATTCCTCTCCCGACAACTTTATTTTCTACGTTTCCCCATGATGAGGTTACCCAGTAACAATAAAACAATAAAAGTTTAGTGCCTTTTAACTAAACAAAATTAAAATTTTAATTTAAAAAAGGCGTCTATCACGTTTCAAGGTTCCCGCGTTTTTTTTCTCAAATCGAGTGACTATATACATATACTATAGATGTTGTTGATGTTGTTTTAATTATTCGCTCGAGTGAGCAGGTAAAGAAACTAAGCCATACTGCCTTGTCTTTTTTTAATTTGAATATATAGAATTTTGACGTGTAAAGGCCGAAACCAAGTCTTATTTTTTTTCCATCTCTTCAAAATCCATAAAGGCCGAAGCCAAGTCTTATTTTCTTTAATTCTTCATATTTTCAAAAACCACAAAGGCTAAAGCCAAGTCTTCTTTATATTATAATCTTTATAAGTTTCAATCCATATACATTTATCAGTCCAGTTTCAAGGTTCCCGCGCTTTTTTTCTTTTCTTCACAATATGCTGATGCGTCACATTGCGAAGCCCTTGGAAGATTTTGACGACAGCTCAACCCAGCGGACAGTTGATGACGACAGCCACTCAAGTTCATAAGGTGCCTAAGTGAATAAAATAACTTGAGGTTTATGTCGACATCAAAGCACTTGTTTCGTCGTTTTCTCTAATAGTTCGCACACGCAGACCATTAATTCACAAAATAACATCACTTTTACGAATTAAAATCCACTTCAAGCCATTATTCAAGCGACAAAACAGGAGCGACAGTCCGTCGTCGGCCAAGTTCCCGCCAAAACCATAGATAAATAAATATGTAGAAAGCTAGAAGGCCAAAACTCGAGTGACTAATGACAACTGACAGCAAGGAATTTTCGGGTATGTTCCGAAATACAACACAGTACACTGTCGAATGCGAATGACGTCATAAATCGACGCCATATTGGTGATTCGTTGTATCGAATATGGTGGAATACTACGTCAATTAATGACGTCGTTCGCATTCGACAGTGTGCTGTGTTGTTTTTCGGAACATACCCTTCTTCTGTGGAAATGGACTCGATCAGTTATATTTTTGCCAGTTGTTGCGTCATATTGTGAAGTTATTGAGTGGTTTTGACGGCAAATTGAGTTAAAATATATTCCACTATAATAGTTTCTCAAGGCAACCAAGCAGATAAAATAACTTGGGCTTTATCAATATCTAGTGGGTGATCAACGCCCAACATTTCGCTTACCGGTACGAAGCTGCCATTAGATGGGGTGATGACCTGAATATGCAGAAAGTCGATGGATGATGACTCAGAACCATGCTTTGTGGCATTCCATGGGTGAATCCTCCGTTTTGTGATTAGCTGTGATGATGATAACGATTATCAACATCAAAGCACTTGTATCATCTTTTCTAATAATATACACTTGCGCAGACATTTAATATACAAAAAAGTATCATCTTTACGTATCAAAATCTATTTCAAACAATGGAGAAGTTACCATATTTTCATGGATTATTTATAAAAGTTTAAGTAAAATGAAACAAAAATATGAAAGAATTATTACAAAATTTCTAGAAATTATTAAATTTTTTTGTGTGTGGTGCTGGTGCGCGAGCGGAGCGTGAGATGTTAACGTCTAGTCCGTGATAAAAAATAATTTAAAATTGTAAAACCATTGTAATTCTTACTTTATTTTATCAAACTGTAAATAAACATCCAAAGGTATAATTGACAGTGTCGTCTACGTAATTGTGATATCCTTACACATTAAAATAACAACTTCAAAAATCGTTTTATTCTGCCATAAGTTTCAGTGAAAGTAATTAGAATTAAACAATAGTGTAAAAAAAGTGAACACAGTGTAAAGTGACCATATATAGCGACAAAAAACGTTACAAACGTTAAAATACACACAAAATCACATCAGTGATTAGCGAAATAAGACAGTGAAATAAATTTTTGTAGCATGAATCATAATAACGATCTCGGTGCATTTTAAATAACAGTAAGCGTCAAGTACTCGACAATTTCAACATTTTAATCAAAAGTCGCCGTGGCGTGGCGGTATATGCCCAAGAACATCTGTATCGTATAAGAAATCGTGAGTTTGCATCCCGGCATTTGAAGGATCTTTTTGTGTGTCTTGAAAATATACAATAAAATAGATTGAATATAATTTCGCTTGCTAAACATTAAGATTATTAAGAGAGAACCCTCGACTTTTCTTCATAACATAAGATACAAAACACATAACATAAAAATAATTTCGTAATTTAATACTAGTAAAAATTATAAGAGTTAATAAAGAGCACAGAAATAAGCATGGAAACTAGTAGTATCATAATGTTGCGAAGAAAGTATCATACAAATGATAATTCTTATTACTCTTTACCCTTTCTCAATGAAAGTCCGTTGTCATCAAATAACTCTAGTATAAAGAGTATGCCAGACTTTTCGATATTAAACGACAACGAGGTAGCTCAATTAAAGGATACCATTAATGAGTTAAGATCACAGCTGGATAGTGCACATAACGAAGTTCAAAATCTACTGACGGAAAACCATATCCTCCAAAAGATTATTAAAGACCAGCAAAACAAAATTAATCAACTAACAACAATCTGCACTTCAAATAAAAAACAACCAAGGAAAGTCAACAGAAGTAATAATGTGGCTAAAAAGATAGATTTTTCTGAGAAAACGGTCTCGCTCACAACTATAAAGAACTGTCCTGCAACTTCACTAACATATAACCAACCGTGCGAGAATCACTATGAAGTAAAAAGTGTAGAAACCTCTGCTTCTTGCTGTTCATCGAAAGAAAACATCGACATATCAACCACTAAGAACACATCAAGTAAGTCACAAGACACATTACCATCCACAAATCAAACCAAGAGTGAAACTGATAGCGTCCCCAACCAAGGGAGTAAAACTGATAGCGTTACCAAAAGACGCTTATTAATATTTGGAGCTCAACTTTGTAGTAAATTAGCCTCTAGATTGATCAAATTACGTTATAACACTAAATATGAACATTACGATATATACGGCTGCATTAAACCTTTTGCAACAACTGAGGAGATTGATTAAAACTACTTTTACGGATTTTATCGCGTTTTATTTATTTTATTTTTAATACCCGACGTTTCGGGTGCTTTCCAGCACCCATGGTCACGGGGGACTGAGGTGACTGACGTCCCGATGTCAAAGTTAACCCGGAGTACCTTCAGCTTTTAATTATTGTCCTTGGTCCGATCTACGCAGAATGAACTAACTGTGTTTTGAAGTCTTGCAGTGGTATGCTTGGGTTTAGTTTTAATTTTATTAATTATAGGATCCCAAGCAGGTGGTAGTACCCAGCCTCCTTCTCTATTGAAATTAGGATGTTTTTTAATTTCAGTAGCCTCACGTATCATCCTTGGTAGGAATCGATGTTCTTTCGCGAGGATTTGTGGTCTATCAAATCTGATGTAATGGTTGGGGCCATCTAGGATATGATCGCAAACTGCAGACTTCCCGGAACGTTGATGCTTCACGTCAGCTATGTGTTCTTTTATGCGGGTTCTAATTGATCTCTTTGTTTGCCCTATATATGAGAGACCACATTTACAATTAAGCTTGTACACTCCTGCATCTTGTAGAGGAATATGACACTTGACGGATGGTAAGAACTTACTAATCTTCTTCGGCGGCTTGTAGCATGTTCTAATAGAAGCTCGCTTCAAGATGTAGCCAATCTTGTCTGTGACACCTCTGACATATGGTAGTATAGCAGGCACACGCTCGACTATGGCGGGCTTCACTCGGTCACTATGACGGAGGCGCGGGACCCGAAGCTTGTTGTCGTGCAGAACCTGCTTGACGTGCTGAAGCTCGGCGGCCAGGTGTTTGCTGTCACAGATCCCTCGTGCTCTCTGTAACAAAGATTTGCCCACGGTAGCTAACTGTGAAGAATGATGGTGAGATTCACCGAAACGTCGGGGATCAAAAATAAATAAAACGCGATAAAATCCGTAAAAGTAGTTTTAATCAATGTATAGTGTTCGCGTAAATATAAGAAAAAAACTGAGGAGATATTAAGAAACTTCGAAACTCTTACACTAAAACCTGATGATAAAATAATATTAACTATAGGAGAAAACGATTTTAACCCAACAAAACTATTCATAGAACTATCAGCTGTCCTGACAAAATTACGTTCTCACTGCGTAATAGTTCTAAATTTTAATTATAATAATCACTTAAATATTCAATTACTTAACAACAAAATAAGACTAATATGTAATAATTTTTCTAATTGTTATTATGTTGACACTAAAAAATATGATAAGTATATTTATAATAATAACATCAATTATAATTTATGGGAAAGATTGAATTCTTTTATAGACTGTATAGATTATAAAACCACCTATTTACATGGGAATAAAACTGGTGTATCACGCATTTTATCAGAAAAGTACAATCGAAATAGTTATTTTTCAAACACTGTTTGTTGCCCCTATCTAAAGAATACCCCTACACTTAAGCAGAAAGTATTCTAGATTATTTTTCGAAAGTCCTACCTGAAAACATATCTAACCCCAGTTTTAGCCAGCCTTTTTTTCGCTCACAATGATGAAAATACTTTTGCTACAGTAACATTACTTTATCAAGATATCGCGGGATTATTGAACAAAATTTGTATGTTAGAATTGTGTGTCAATGAATTGACGAAAAATGGTAAAGAAATTATTCTTATATGCCTTACTGAAACATTTGTAAAAAAAGGAGAAGAATCGAACATTAAACTAAAAAATTTCAAAGTTGCTTCCACATTCTGCAGATCCAAAGAAAGACGGGGTGGCGCGTAGACAGAGAAACCTATAGACTAATGATCGGCGTGGCCTCGAGTGAGAAAGGACGATAACGAATTTTTAGGTTATACAATAATCTTTATGACTTTTAAACACATTTAGATAAAAAATTTAATTGTTCTAAGAACTGAACTGAACAAGATTCACCAATCTTAGGCTCACAAAACACTTTTTTCTCACTTAAACCAACTTGTAAACTCCTTAAATAGCTACGCTTTCAAAGTGTTAGCAAACTGTAGAGTTTGCAAACAAAAAAACCGGCGCAGTGAAAGGGACAAACAATCACACCGCTCTATCTCATTTATATGCAAGACGTATGCATAAATCTATCTTTTTCGTGTGCGAATGCGAAAGAAGGCGTCAATTTGTCTATAGGTTTCTCTGTCTACGGGGTGGAGTGTGTATACTCACAGATAAAACACTTCTCTCTAAGCCCATAAAATTATGTAATGATATATCGGTTGAAAAATATCTTGAATGTTGTGGAATTGAAGTACCGGCCTACAAATGCAAAATAGTCTGCGTGTATAGGATACCGAAATCACCGGCTTCAGTATTTTTTAAAAAACTAGACACACTAGTATTTAAGCCAACGACTACGAGCAACATGAAATTTATTCTATGCGGTGATTTCAATATCGATACGCTAATAGAAAACAGCACTACCGATCACTTAATTTATAACCGTAAACTTCACATTAATAAACTGACTCGTCAAAACACATGCATATCATATAGCTAGTAACATAGAACGTCCCTATAGTTACTTATATTTAATATGTTAGACCATAATAATAGTCAATTACTAAGCTTTCCGGTAGTAAAACAAGGAAAACTTATATATATATATATATATATATATATATATATATATATATATATATGTTATCAAAAGAAATTACAGCAAAGAGAACAAACAGAAGTTCAAAACGTCAATGGCAGCGCTTTCCTGGAAGGAAACCGGCGTAGAAGATCTTAATTCAGCATTCAATAATTTTCATGAAATGTTTTGCTTACTATATAATCTCTGCTTTACTATTCAACATTGTAAGATAAATTTTAGCCTTCAAGCACCTAAATGGATTACTACGGGTATTAAAATATCAAGTATTACCAAAAGAAAATTGAGATACTAAGTATTGCACGTACGCTAAGTATTCAAAATTACTCAAATCTTGTATTATTTGGTCAAAAAAGAAAATAAATAACAATTTAATTACAAAATCCAAGAATGTATGTAAGACGACCTGGGACATTATTAAAAATAATGAATATGACTATACAAACAATAAAGAAATTGATTGGATAAATAGTGACGGTATAAAAATTGTAAATCCTAATGACATTGCAGAAAAATTTAATAACTATTTTATTAACATCCCTGACATAAAAATTGATAAAAAATACAGAAACATAGAACGCGTTTAGATAACCTCGAAAATAGCACATTTTTACGACCATGCTCCGTAAATGAAGTTATAAGAATAATTAAATCCTTTCACAATACAAAGTCTGTGGGTAATGATTCAGTTTCCACTCATATACTAAAGGATTGTGCTGATATTATAGGTCCTATTTTTTCAAATCTCATAAATCTATCGTTCACACAGGGTATGTTTCCCGAAAAACTAAAAACTTCAATTGTGAAACCGCTCTATAAAAAGTTGATCATCACGAACTAACCAATTACAGAACTATTACACTAATACCAATTTTTTCGAAAATATTTGAAAAGGCGATGCATACTAGAATTTACAACTACTTATCTAAATATAGTATTCTCCGTAAAAAACAGAACGGATTGCAAAAAGGAAAATCTACAACAAATGTCGCATTTTCTTTAATACATAGAGTAACTGAATATTTAAGCAAAAAAGACTGTGTTGATCATATTTTTCTAATAGATAAGTGTGAAAGATATGGAATTCGTGGACCAGCATTAAATTGGCTAAAATCCTATTTAGAAATCGACAACAATGTGTTGAAGTGTCACGCATTGATGATAAGTAAAATCGCACGTCATTTAGATCTTCTTTTACTCACAATAAAAGTGGCGTGCCACAGGGCAGTGTATTGGGTCCACTGTTATTTCTATTATATATAAATGATTTACCGACTGCGACACCTCATCAGTCTATACTTTTTGCTGACGACATTTCCATCGTCATACCAAAACTAAATAAAGAATCTACCGTAAGTGATTTCGAAATGACGTTAAATTCTTCTATAGCATCTATAATGACCTGGCTAGAAACCAATAATCTGCGTGCGAATGTCTCAAAAACAAAATTTATTTCGTTTTCGAATTACAGTACACCAAATGAAATATTAAATATTTCATATAATACCACTGCAACTGGAAGTCGCATGTAAAACATGTCTGCACCAAATTAAATAAATTTGTATATGCACTGCGTAGGTTACAATGCGTTGCTGGGAAAGGAGTTGCGCTTACTGCATATTACGGATACATCAAATCTGTGTTAAGTTATGGTCTGTTGGTATGGGAAAACTCAACTGACATAAACAAAGCATTTATCAGTGAAAAGATATGTATACGAGCTCTATGTAATAATAGTAATAATAATAATCCTTTATTGCAGATACAAAGATCCATATTTACAAGAAAATATAATATAGCATATTATATATAGTATAGCAAGAATAGACATGTTGCAGTATTTCCAAAAGTCGAAAAGTCAAAAGTCTATCGTCACCCAGCAACTTTCACCCAACATCTGTACATTGCAGTCTGTATCTGCCTATCTGCCAAACTACGCACAATAGAGTTGTTACGCAAGTCAACTCTGGACATAAATGATGCTATCCTCTTTCGATGGATAGCATTAAAAGAGTCAACTCGGATTTTCACGTACATTTCAGAGGCGATAAAATAGATAGCGATTAAATCCCATTAGAAGTCTAAAAATATTATTATAAGTCACCCGTATACTATCATGTGTTTTCTTGGTATAGTCTACCAAGAGTTGATTGGCAGAAAGATCTAAAAAGTGTAATTTTCACGTCCGGCGACGCCTTGCAGAATTTTCGCGCAATCATATTGCCTACTACACACAGAGATCTACGTTGACATTCCACATCCGTGTCATCTTTTAAGTCTGAAGTAACAATAATGTTGGCCCTCTGGAATCATGTAGACCTTTATTAAAAAATAATAATTTGTCAAAAAAAATCAATATTTATTATTATTTTTGGGGTATCTATATAATTTTCTCATCTGGTTGGGTTCTATATATATATAATTTTAAGTTAAAACGAAAAGATAAATATGCATAAATATCAATAACATAAAATAAATACAAAAGATACATAAATAAATAAGATCCAACCAGTGGACCAGATGGAGGCCCTCGGCAGGGGAGACCAAACGGCCGAGGGTTAGGGGGAAAGGGGAAAGAAACCGGCGGACGATGCGGGCGGTATCGAGGAGCACCGCCTTCTGCATTTGAGCCTGGAGCGGTCAGCCACGTAGTCCCAGTCGCCTCAGATGACCCGAGAGGCTGACTGGGATTAGCCCGTTTGCAAAGACGACTACAGGAATAATTTCGGTCGGCAGACCACCCCACATGTCGGTCACCTCGTGAGCCAGGTCCAGATATTTTGTTTGCTTGTCTGTTTCGGCTTTCACGAGGTTCTCGTCATACGGAATGGTAATGTCGACCAAAAATATCCTTGACTGTGCCCGGTCCATCAGCACAATATCAGGCTTATTCGCAAGAATAGTCCTGTCTGTGATGATGGCCCGGTCCCAATAGAGCCTGGCGCGATCATTTTCGAGCACGGCTTCCGGCAAGTACTTGTAGTACGGCAATTTCCGGTCCACGAGACCGTATTTCAGAGCGAGCTCCTGGTGTAGAATTCTGGCTACTAGGTTGTGCCTGTGCAAGTACTCAGAGTTAGAAAGCGCCGAACAACCGGAGGTGACATGCCTAAGTGACTCACCGGGATGGCGACAAGCTCGACAGATGTCCACGGTGCCATCCTTTAGGATGTATCTCCGATAGTTGTTGGTCTTAATAACCTGATCCTGTATTGCACAGACAAAACCCTCGGTTTCCCCGAAGAGATCACCAAAGCGTAGCCAGTGGAGGGAGGCTACTGTGTCTACGAAAGGCTCATGTAGAGCCTTGTAGAACCTCCCGTGGAGCTCCTTCTCCTTCCATACGGTCTCCCGGTCGGAAATGCTAAGCACTGCTGGGTCCTGCCATTGTTCGTTGGCTAAGGATAGAGGGGTAAGCCCTTTATCACTAGAAATGACGTCATTATAGAATGGATCATCCGATCTCGCCAGGAAGTAATCACGGAGGCTGCACACTTTGCGATTATGCATGGTGAGCGCGCTCAGAAAACCACGTCCACCATGCTTTCGCGGCAAGTACAGCCTCATTACCGACGATCTCGGATGATGCATCTATGACGTCATGGTAGTGCGGACTTTTCTATCCAGGGCGTTAAGTTCAGTCTGGGTCCATCTGAGTATGCCAAAGGTATACATGAGGACAGGCATGACCCAACCGTTATATGCGTGTGTCTTATTCACTCCGGACAAAAGGCTGTTAAGCACTTTGGTCAAGCGTGCATAAAACACGTCGCAAACTGACTGTTTCATACCAGCCTCATCGATACCGATGTTCTGTGACATACCCAGGTATCGGTATGTTTCAGCCTCGGAAAGGGTCCTTAAGTTGACGGTCATAGATAAGTCTATGCCCTCAGAGTTAGCAACCCTTCCCCTTTTAACATGGAGGACCGCACACTCATCCGTTCCCAGCTCCATTCCAATAGAACTGCTAAATTCACAAGCGATGTTTAGCAATTCCATAAGATGGGAGCGACTGGAGGCGAATAACTTGAGGTCATCCATATAGAAAAGGTGGGTCACTTTTGTACCTCCTTTCCGAAGCTGAAATCCCCTCCCGGAGCCCTCCAGTAAGGTACTGAGAGGGTTCGGGGAGAGGCAGAACCAGATTGGACTCAGACAATCGCCCTGGAAGATACCCCTTCTTATCCTCGAGCAGTGTATGGGGCAATGGATCGTACTCCATTGCCCCATACACTGCTCGAGGAAGTCTCCAACTGTACAGTCAATTTTGTACAGCTGGAGGACTCTCTTTAGCCATGTATGGGGCACCGAGTTGAATGCCTTTCTGTAGTCTATCCAGGCGGCGGAGAAATTCCGATTATTATTATTATTATTATTATTGTGGGGTATCTATATAGTTTTCTCATCTGGTTGGGTTCTATAAATATATAATTATAAATGAAAATGAAAAGATAAATATACATAAATATCAATAACATAAAATAAATATAAAAGTACATAAATAAATAAAAGCCCAACCAGATGGGGCCCTCGGCAGGGGAGACCAAACGGCCGAGGGTTAGGTGGAAAGGGAAAGGAACCAGCGGACGATGCGGGCGGTATCGAGGAGCACCGCCTTCTGCATTTGAAGCTGGAGCGGTCCGCCACGTAGTCCCAGCCGCCTCAGATGACCCGAGAGGCTGACTGGGATTAGCCCGTTTGCAGAGACGACTATAGGAATAATTTCGGTCGGCAGACCACCCCACATGTCGGTCACCTCGTGAGCCAGGTCCAGATATTTTGTTTGCTTGTCTGTTTCGGCTTTCACGAGGTTCTCGTCATACGGAATGGTAATGTCGACCAAAAATATCCTTGACTGTGCCAGGTCCATCAGCACAATATCAGGCTTATTCGCAAGAATAGTCCTGTCTGTGATGATGGCCCGGTCCCAATAGAGCCTGGCGCGATCATTTTCGAGCACGGCTTCCGACAAGTACTTGTAATACGGCAATTTCCGATCCACGAGACCGTATTTCAGAGCGAGCTCCTGGTGTAGAATTCTGGCTACTAGGTTGTGCCTGTGCAAGTACTCAGAGTTAGAAAGCGCCGAACAACCGGAGATAACATGCCTAAGTGACTCATCGGGATGGCGACAAGCTCGACAGATGTCGACGGTGCCCTCCTTTAGGATGTATCTCCGATAGTTGTTGGTCTTAATAACCTGATCCTGTATTGCACAGACAAAACCCTCGGTTTCCCCGAAGAGATCACCAAAGCGTAGCCAGTGGAGGGAGGCTACTGTGTCTACGAAAGGCTCATGTAGAGCCTTGTAGAACCTCCCGTGGAGCTCCTTCTCCTTCCATACGGTCTCCCGGTCGGAAATGCTCTGCACTACCGGGTCTTGCCATTGCTCGTTGGCTAAGGATAGAGGGGTAAGTCCTTTATCACAAGAAAGGATGTTCTTATAGAATGGATCATCCGATCTCGCCAGGAAGTAATCACGGAGGCTGCACACTTCGCGATTATGCATGGTGAGCGCGCTCAAGAAGCCACGACCACCATGCTTCCGCGGCAAATACAGCCTCATTACCGACGATCTCGGATGATGCATCCTATGGGACGTCAGGTAGTGCGGACTTTTCTATCCAGGGCGTTAAGTTCAGTCTGAGTCCACCTGAGTATGCCAAAGGTATACATGAGGACAGGCATGACCCAGACGTTATATGCGTGTGCCTTATTCACACCGGACAAAAGGCTGTTAAGCACTTTGGTCAAGCGTGCATAAAACACGTCGCAAACTGACTGTTTCATACCAGTCTCATCGATACCGATGTTTTGTGACATACCCAGGTATCGGTATGTATCAGCCTCGGAAAGCGTCCTTAAGTTGACGGGCATAGATAAGTCTACGCCCTCAGAGTTAGCAACCCTTCCCCTTTCAACATGGAGGACCGCACACTTATCCGTCCCAAGCTCCATTCCAATGGAATTGCTAAATTCACAAGTGATGTTCAGCAATTCCATAAGATGGGAGCAACTGGAGGCGAATAACTTGAGGTCATCCATATAGAAAAGGTGGGTCACTTTTGTCCCTCCTTTCCGTAGCTGAAATCCCCTCCCGGAGCCCTCCAGTAAGGTACTGAGAGGGTTCAGAGAGAGGCAGAACCAGATTGGACTCAGACAATCGCCCTGGAAGATACCCCTTCTTATCCTTATGTGGTTCTCCGCAGCCATCATCCGCTCGCCCAGATGACAAAGGATCGTACTCCACTGCCCCATACACTGCTCGAGGAAGTCTCTAACTGTACAGTCTATCTTGTACAGCTTGAGGACTCTCTTTAGCCATGTATGGAGCACCGAGTCGAATGCCTTTCTATAGTCTATCCAGGCGGCGGAGAAGTTCCGACGGTTGCGTTTCACCACTTTGCCAATCACCGCATCAATGAGGAGTGGTTCCTTGGTTCCACGATCACCGCCCCGACATCCATTTTGAGCGCGCGACATCACCTGATTTGAGTCCAGGTGACAAGTGATTCTCGCGCTCAAAATGGATGTTAGTGTCTTGTATATGGTCGGTAGACACGTGATGGGGCGGTATTTGCTCGGGTCTGTGGTACCCTGGTCTTTAGGAACCAAATGAGTGATCCCAGTAGTGAAGAGGCTTGGGAGCGACTTCTGGTTGAGATCCTCTTGAAACTGTCGGGCGAGCACAGAATGACACACCATGGACCCCTTCAGCCAGTAGTGATGCAGCCCGTCAAGCCCCGGACTTTTCCAGTTCGGGGCCCTATGGACCGCCTCAGCTACGTCATCCGGCGTTATGATGACGGGGTCCATGGGCGTAATACCCGCACACTGACTCGCCACAACTTCCGTCCAAGGGCCCTCGCTGTGGTTTACGGGCTCTGACCACCGGTATATCGCCGAATCCGCTTTCCCCAAGCAGCGATTCTCTGCTTCAGATCATCTATGCGCTCCGTCAGTTTTTGCGTTATATCCGGCTGGGACAAACTGACATTTGTCCAAGCAAACGCCATCCTGACGGTGCGCACAATTCTTGGCCTGTTGTTGCCTGATCTGAAGCATATCAGTCTGCCGATGAGAGCTCTAGCCTTTGCGATACGTTCCTCAATTCTTCTTCTCCATGCTGGGATAGCGCTACTATGCCCAGTAGCGCGTCCAGCCGTGGAAACCTTGGCGCCTATGATACGGCAGACTGCCAGCGCGGCGCCAAAAAGAATTGAGTCCGTCTCGCAAAGGTCCCGGCTGGCTTCCAAATAGGTCACCAGCATTGGGTTCAGAGCCCTCACGACAGCCCGATTCCGCTTGCTTAGGGCTATGCGGGGAAGTCGCGGTCGATTTTCGAGAGGCGTACTGCGCGTTTCCACAATCGCCTCTTCCAATGTACTCCTCATATGCTCTAATTCCAGTTCCTGGACGACTGTTACATCATCGTTTGAATCAACCACAACTGGGGTATTCACGGCGGCATCCACGTTTGCGGGTTGCTCTACCATTTGTAGCGCCGCATCCTCAGCCGTAGCATTCTCATCCGACGAGGGAACAGCCTCACGTCGTAGCCGTTCGAGTTCGGCGACATCAAATATATTTGAGCGCAAGATATACCGAACTCGGTCTGCCAGGTTTTGCTCTGTGACGGTTAAAGATGGCTCCAGCTCAGCAAAAAGACGATGCATCCTAGCCCGATACGCCAAACATCCAGTTTCTTCCCCTTTTGCCCTAAAGTACGCCCGCAGTGCGTTTGCATTCATTGCTTGTGACCAACGCATGCGACGTGCTCCACCAGCGGCGGGTGCCGCTTGCTGAGTCCGAGAAGACCCAGCCGACACCAAGCCTTCTGGTGGGGATGATGGATGCGGAGGGCTGCTAGGTGACCGTGCAGCTCCTCGCGCTCGGCTGGCGGCCCGCACGCTGCCGCGTCCAGCGCCAGCTTCAGACGCGCCCCGGCGACCCCCAGGCAGCGGCCCTTTGCGCACTATCTTCTTATCCGTCATCCATTATTTGGGCGTCCATTAACGGGAGACGCCCAGGCCCGGCACCGTTTCGTGTGTAGCCATAAGCAGAAACGGGCCTCTGCACCCTAAATTCTGCCGAGGCACGGCGCTCACACCTCTCGCAAGGAGCTGACTGACTGCGTTGACGTAGCAGTTTTGTCACTTAACTGTTACGTCAGCGGGCGATGGGGTCGTCAATTCCCTACGCCTTATTATTATTATTATGTGAAAATTTTTCTCATTTTCTCATCTGGTTGGGATGTATAAATATATAATTATAAACGAAAATGAAAGGATAAATATACATAAATATCAATAAAATAAAATAAATACAAAAATACATAAATAAATAAAAGCCCAACCAGATGGAAGCCCTCGGCAGGGGAGACCAAACGGCCAAGGGTTAGGAAGAAAGGGAAAGAAACCGGCGGACGATGCGGGCAGTATCAAGGAGCACCGCCTTCTGCATTTGAGCCCGGAGCGGTCCGTCACGGAGTCCCAGTCGCCTCAGATGACCAGAGAGGCTAACTGGGATTATCCCATTCGCAGAGACGACTACAGGAATAATTTCGGCCGGCAGACCACCCCACATGTCCGTCACCTCGTGAGCCAGGTCCAGATATTTTGATTGCTTATCTGTTTCGGCTCTCACGAGGTTCTCGTCATACGGGATGGTAATATCGACCAAAAATATCCTTGACTGTGCCCGGTCCATCAGCACAATATCAGGCTTATTCGCAAGAATAGTCCTGTCTGTGATGATGGCTCGGTCCCAGTAGAGTCTGGCGCGGTCATTTTCGAGCACGGCTTCCGGCAAGTACTTGTAATACGGCAATTTCCGGTCCACGAGACCGTATTTCAGAGCGAGCTCCTGGTGTAGAATTCTGGCTACTAGGTTGTGCCTGTGCAAGTACTCAGAGTTAGAAAGCACCGAACAACCGGAGATGACATGCCTAAGTGACTCCCCCGGGATGGCGACAAGCTCGACAGACGTCGACGGTGCCATCCTTTAGGATGTATCTCCGATAGTTGTTGGTCTTAATAACCTGATCCTGTATTGCACAGACAAAACCCTCGGTTTCCCCGAAGAGGTCACCGAAACGTAGCCAGTTGAGGGAGGCGACTGTATCTACGAAGGGCTCATGTAGAGCCTTGTAGTACCTCCCGTGGAGCTCCTTCTCCTTCCATACGGTCTCCCGGTCGGAATTGCTAAGCACTGCTGGGTCCTGCCATTGCTCGTTGGCTAAGGATAGAGGGGTAAGCCCTTTATCACTAGAAATGACGTCATTATAGAATGGATCATCCGATCTCGCCAAAAAGTACTGACGGAGACTGCACACTTCGCGATTATGCATGGTGAGCGCGCTCAGAAAGCCACGCCCACCATACTTCCGCGGCAAGTACAGCCTCATTACCGACGATCTCGGATGATGCATCCTATGGGACGTCATGGTAGTGCGGACTTTTCTATCCAGGGCGTTAAGCTCGGTCTGAGTCCACCTGATTATTATTATTGTTATTATTATTATTATTATTTGAGAAAACTTTGAAGTTGGGCGTGTAAGAATAATTTCGTTACACTCAATGCTTCACTGTATAAGATCACTAGACGTAAATTATGTGGCTCGTATTAGGGCCTATTAAAGTCCATTGCTAAACATAGGCCTCCCCGTAAACTGTCGCATAAGGCGATATTTGCCATAACTATCTCGTGGTTCTTTTCCTCACTCGCCTTTAATGACATCAATGGAAGGATATGGGGTAGTGGTTATTCTTACAACGCCATTACACGGTGACGTATTCACAGACTTATTTACTTCAATCATCATTGGTGTCACGTTTCGTTTATTAGACAACGATTGAGATAAAAATACACCTATAAATATTTACTGTCCCTATATGTCAAAGCACGTCAGTTAAAAACCCCCATAAAATATTTTCCGAAAAAAATATCGATACATTTGATATTACGTCAACACTACATGGCGGGCAATAGACGTACTATATATTTTAAATATGACAATATATAACAACCAATACTTCACTACAAACTGTATATAAATTTTTTTTTGTATATCGTACTTCTAAAGGTCAAAAGAAACTCTTATAGGATCACTTCGTTGTCCGTCTGTCTGTCTATCTGTCTGTCAAGACCCTTTTCTAAGGACCGCCTGGAGGTATGAAGTTGAAATTAATATCAAATATTTAGGTCTACAATCCCTTATAGCTGTTAAAAAATTAAGCTAGAAGTAAACGCAATAAAAGAATAAGACTATTTCTGCCACATTTTTTTATAGAAGAGGGGGCAAACGTGCATGCGGCTCACCTGATATTTAGTGACTACCGCCGCCCATGATCAACCGCAACACCAGGGGAATTGCAGGTGCGTTGCCGGCCCTTTAGAAAGGAGTAAGCTCTTTTCTTGAAGGTCCCCAGGTCGTATCGGTCCGGAAAAATCGCCAGTGGTAAACTATTCCACAGAGAGGTCGTACGCAGAAGAAAACTTCTTGTGAAACGTACAGTGGTGGACCGCCAAGCATCCAGATGGTGTGGATATATGTGGAGTATTGGGACGTTTGCCGCGTAGTGCGTTCACGAAATTTGTCGGCTGGGATTAATCTGAACAATTACTCAGAGAAACGTGTTGAGCAAAGTGTTCGAGAGGATCGTACACAAATTTATCTATCCTGTAATATCGGTCTCAATACCAATAGAGCAGCATGGTTTCATGAAGGGTCGGTCCACAGCTACCAATCTGGCAGTATTTATTCATTACGTATTAATTAACATAGATGGTGGGTCTCAGGTTGATGTGATTTACAAGGATTTTGAGAAGGCGTTTGACCATGTGGATCACATTATTCTTTTACGTAAACTTTATGAACTTGTTATCCGGGGTAGCTTGCTTAGATGGATGGAATCTTATTTACGCAATCTCAAGCTGTCGTCATAGGAGGATTTTGCTCAGATTTTATTGCAATACCTAACGGCGTCCCACAGGGATCCGTTATGGGACCACTTCTGTTTGCAACATATTTGTACGACGTAGGTGCCTGCATCGAACATGCTCTATTCCTTATTTACGCTGATGATACCAAAATATTTATGAAAATTAAAAACGATATGGATTGTACTGGCCTACAAACTGATCTTAACCGTCTAGAACAATATTATAGTGATAATCGAATTGGTATAAATATAAATAAATGTTCTTTTATTTCGTTTACTCGCAAGAAACATCCGATCAATTTTGAATACTATATTAATAATGTTAAAATTGCAAAATCGGCTTGTGTTAGGGATCTTGGTGCTCACTTTGATTGCAAGTTGACATTTTCTGATCATACAGAAATGATTAAAAACAAAGAGTACTGAAATGATTAAAAACAAAACAAAGCGCCTGGGTTTCGTATTGCGTGTTAGTCGTCCCTTCTCAGACATAGGGTGCCTAAAAGCCTACTGTATTACACTTATGTTAGGAGCATCCTAGAATATTGTAGTATAATTTGGAACCCTCAGTATATCATTTGTATTCAAGATTTAGAAAAAATGCAAGAAAAATTCATAAAACATCTAAACTATCGGTCGCATTGCCATTTCAAAAATTATGATGAATCCTGCCATTATCATAATCTTACGACTCTCAAAAATATGCGTGTACTTGCTGACATGTCCTTTTTACACAGAATATGCAACGGATATATAGATAGTCCTGAACTATCAACCAAAATACTGAGTTTCTGCGCCCCGAAAGTTAGAATGAGACACACAAAATTATTTGCTGTAACACGATCAAAACAAACTACGCACAAAACGCATTGGTCACTCAATTGCATAGAACTTTTAACAACCAATTTAATGCTACTGATATTTTTCATATCAGTAGGAATCTGTTTAAGAGGGAAGTTCTTGAAGTACTTGAAGGAAATTGTTAATATGTATATTGCACACACACACACACACACACACACACACACACACACACACACACACACACACACCCACACACACACACACACACACACACACACACACACACACACACACACACACACATACACACAAACATACACACGCGCGCGCGCGCGTACTCGTATATACAGATCAGAGAGAGAGAGAGAGACGCACCGTTTTTAGTTTTTAATTTTTAATTCTAAAATAATATGTTTTGTAGCTCAAACTTATTGATTGTCGGTCGATTAATATAAGTAAAAAAAATGTATAAAGTAGATCCGTTATTGGCTGTAAGTTTATTTCTTAAATTTTATGTACGTTGTAATTAGAGCTGTGGATCTTGTAATAAATAAATAAATAAAAGCACTCCCCATGGTATATGCGAAAGAAAATGCAGAGAGATGCAATATCTCTTCGAAGCGCCAGTGAATCGAGCCGATCGGAAAGCACTCGGTCGTCTACGATTCGAGCCACTCTGCGCTGGATGCGGTCAAGTGGAAGGAGCTGGTATCGGGGAGCTCCAGCCCAGAGATGGGAACAGTATTCCATGTGCGGCCGAACCTGCGCCTTGTAAAGTTGCAGGCGGTGTGCCGGCATGAAATACTGTCCCGCTCTGCTGAGCACGCCAAGCTTTTTAGAGGTCAATTTGGCCTTCTCTTCCAAGTGACCACGAAACTGCACGTCACTCGATATGTCGACGCCGAGGATTCCGATACTGGCTGAGGCAACAAGGGGAGTGCCTTGAGACTGAGGAGATACGACAAAGGGGTTCTTTTTAGCGGTTAACGCGAAAACTTAAACATACTTAAAACACAAACATAATTTGAGAATCAAAAATAAATCAAAACATATAGAATACTTTTCGTCGATCTCCTCCTGCCTTCCTTCACGCGCTAGTTTCCTAGTTTCAAATGTGGCACAAGGAAAAGTTCTATTACAAAAATGTGAGAAATTTTTGAAAATTAATAATTATTGCCTATTTAATCGAGAATTTAAATATCACAAACGCAATCTATGGGGGAGGCCTATGTCCAGCAGAGGAATTT